GAAGTAGCAAGTTATCCGGAAGATCTGGCTAAGATCATAAATGAAGGTGGCTACACTAAGGAATTTTCGGTGTAGGCAAGATAGCCGTATGTTGGAAAGAGATGCCATCCACGACTTTCATAGCTAGAGATAAGTCAGTGCCTGGCATCAGAGCTTCAAAGGACAGGCTGACTCTCTTGTTAGGCGCTAATGCATCTAGTGACTAAGTTAGAGCCAGTGCTCCTAGGGCCCTTGACAGTTACGCTCAATCTACTCGGCCTGTGCTTTGTAAATGAAACCGCAATGCCTGTGTGACAGCACATCTGCTTACAACATGGTTTGCTGAATATTTTAAGCCCACTGTTGAGACCTGCTCAGAAAAGAAGATTCCTTTTAAAATAGTACTTCTCATTGACAGTACCCCTGGTCATTCAAGAACTTTGATGAAGATGTACAATGAAATTAATGTTTTCTTTTTCTTTTTTAAAAGATTTTTTATTTGTTTGACAGAGATCACAAGCAGGCAGAGAGGTAGGCAGAGAGAGAGATAGAAGGGGAAGCAGGCTCCCCGCTGAGCAGAGAGCCCGACTTGGGGCTCGATCCCAGGACCCCAGGATCATGGCCTGAGCCAAAGGCAGAGGCCTTAACCACTGAGCCACTCAGGTGCCCCAAGTTAATGTTTTCATACCTCCTAAATATAACATCCATTCTGCAGCCCAAGGATCAAAGGGTAATTTCTACTTTGAGGTCTTACTATTGAAGACATACATTTCATAAGACTCTAGCTGCCACAGATAGTGATCCCTCTGATAGATCTGGGCAAACCAAGGATTTAGTTTGGATTCACCATTCTAGAGGCCATTAAGAACATTTGTGAATGGGGCACCCTGGTGACTCAGTTGGTTAAGCATCTGACTCTTTGATTTTGGCTCAGGTATGATCTGAGGGTCATGAGGTCGAGCCCCGTGTTGTGTTTCACAGTGGGTGTGGAGCCTTACTTAGGATTCTCTTTCCCTTCCCCCACCTCCCAAAAAAGAACATCAGTGATTCATGGAAAGAGGTCAAAATATCAACATTAGCAGGAGTGTGGAAGAGTTGATTCCAGCCCTCATGGATGACTTTGATGGGTTCAAGACTTTAGTAGAGGAAGTAACTGGAGATGTTGTGGAAGTAGCAGGTGAACTAGAATTATAAGTGGAGCCCGAAGATGGGACTGAATTGCTGTGATCTCATGATAAAACTTTAGTGGATGAGGAGTTGCTGCTTATGGATGAGTAAAGACCATGGTTTCTTGAGATAGAATCTACTCATGGACTATGGACTCTGAAAAACAATCTGAGGGTTGTGAAGGGGTGGGGGGGTGGGAGGTTGGGGGAACCAGGTGATGGGTATTACGGAGGGCATGGATTGAATGGAGCACTGGGTGTGGTGCAAAAACAATGAATACTGTTATGCTGAAAGGAAATAAAAACTTAAAAAAAAAATCTCATGGTGGAGATGCTGTGAAGATTGACAAAAAAGAATTTAGACTATTAATTAAACTTAGTTGATAAAGCATAGGCAGGGTTTGAGAGACTTGACTTCAGTTTTAAAAGAAGTTCTGCTGTGGGTAAAATGCTATCAAACACTATTGCATGCAGTGCAGAAATCGTTCATGAAAGGAAGAGGCAGTCAATGTGGCAAATTTCATTGTTGTCTTATTGTAAGAAGTTGCCACAGCCACCCCGGCCTTCAACAATCACGACCTAATCAGTCAGCAGGTATCAACATTGAGGCAAGACCCTCTACCAGCAAAAAGATTGCTCTTTGCTGAAAACTCAGATGATTAGCATTTTTTAGCATTAAAGTATTTTTTAATTAAGATATGTACTTTTTTTAAAAGGCATAGTGCCATTATACATTTAATAGACTACAGTGGTAGAGTAAGCGTAACTTTTATATGCACTGGGAAACCAAGTTCATTTGACTCACTTTAATGCATTTGCTTTGTCACTGTGTTCTAGAACCAGAACCACAGTATTTCTGCAGTATGTCTATACAAGGCCTTTATCAGATATGTGTTTTACAAATAGTTTCTTTCTGTCTGTGGCTTGTCTTTTTCTTTTTGAAACAGTGTCTTTTACAGAACACAAATTTTTAATTTTAGTGAAATTCTGCGTCTCAGTTTTGTCTTTCATAGATTGTGCTTTTGGTGTTATACAAAAAGGCATTGCCGAACCCAAGGTCAATCTAGATTTTCTCCTCTATTATCTTCTAGGAGTTTTATAGTTTGCATATTACTTTTAGGCTTATGATCCCCTTTGAGTTAATTTTTGTGAAGGGTGTAAGTTCTGGGTCTAGAATCATTTTTGGTTTTTGTCTTTTGGTTTTTGGTTTTTAGCATGTGAATGTCCAGTTATTCCATCATCGTTTGTTGGAAAGATAAATTTATCCATTGCATTGTCTTTGCTTCTTTGCCAAAGATCAGTTGACTATGTATATGAGGGTATTTCTGGGCTTTCGGTTTGCTCGCTGTTTGGTTCTGTTACTTGATTTGTCTATTTCCCCAATACCATTCTACATTGATTATTGTATCTTTATAGTAAGTCTTAAAGTATGCTAGTGTCAATCTTCCAGCTTCCAGTTTTGTTCTTCAATACTATATTGGTCATTCTTGGTATCTTGCTTCTCTGTGTACACTGTAGAATCATTTTGTTGATATTCACAAAATAACTTGCTGGGATTTGGATTAGGATTAACGTTGAATCTCTAGGTCAAGTTGGGAAGAACTGACATCTTGGCAATATTGAGCTTCCTACCCATGAACATGGAATTTCCTTCCATTTATTTAAACACTGATTTTTGGGGCGCCTGGGTGGCTCAGTGGGTTAGAGCCTCTGCATTCGGCTCAGGTCGTGATCCCAGGGTCCTGGGATCGAGCCCCGCGTCGGGCTCTCTGCTCAGCGGGGAGCCTGCTTCCTCCTCTCTCTCTGCCTGCCTCTCTGCCTACTTGTGATCTCTGTCAAATAAATAAAATCTTAAAAAAAAAAACAAAACACTGATTTTCTTCATTAGTCATGTGTAGATCTTGTACATGTTTTGTTAGATTTATACCTAAGTATATACCTAAGTATATAAATCATTTTAAGGAGTACTAATGTAAATGGAATGTAATTTTATTTTATTTTATTTTAAGATTTATTTATTTATTTGACAGACAGAGATCACAAGAAGGCAGAGAGAGAGAGAGCAGGCTCCCCGCTGAGCAGAAAGACCGATGCGGGGCTCGATCCCAGGACCCTGAGATCATGACCTGAGCTGAAGGCAGAGGCTTAACCCACTGAGCCACCCAGGCGCCCCTGGAATGTAATTTTAAACTCTCGTTTTTCATTACTAGCTTATGAGGAAGCAGCCAACTTTTGGATATTAACCTCGTATCCTTCAGCAGTGCTATCACAATTGCTTTTTAGGGGGTGCCTGGGTGGCTCAGTGGGTTAAAGCCTCTGCCTTTGGCTCAGGTCATGATCGCAGGGTCCTGGGATGGAGCCCCACATCAGGCTCTCTGCTCAGCAGGGAGCCTGCTTCCCTTCCTCTCTCTCTACCTGCCTCTCTGCCTACTTGTGATCTCTGTCTGTCAAATAAATAATAAATAATATCTTTTAAAAACAAAACAAACCAAAACAATTGCTTTTTAGTTCCAGGAGTATTTTTGTTAATTTTTTGAGATTTTTTTTCTACATAGACAATGATGTTATCTGCAAACAAAGATAGTTTTATTTCTTTCCATTCTGGATACCATTTATTTCCTTCTCTTGTCTTACTGCATTCATAGGACTTCCAGTTTGATGTGGAATAGAAGTGGTGAGAGCAGGCATCTTTCCCTTATTTCAGATCTTGGTGGGAAAACATGTAGTTTGATGTAGTATGATGTTAGCTCTAATTTTGTTTTTGTTTTTGTTTTTTTTTTGGAAGATATTCTTTATCAAGTGGAAGACATTCCCCTCTATTCCTAGTTTTCTGAGAATTGTTATCATGAAAAGATACTGGGTTTTTTCAAATGCTTCTCTTATATCTATTGATAAGATTATATGATTTTTCTTAAGGCTATTGGTATGATACATTATAATTGATTTTCAAATGTTGAATCAGACTCCCATATCTTGAATACCATTTAATTGTATATAATTCTTTTTATACATTATTGAATACAATTTGCTAATATTTTGTTGGTTTTTGTATCTATGTTCATGAGAGTGTAAGGTCTATTTCCTTTCTTGTATTGTCTTTGATTTTGCATAAAGATGATACCAGCTTCATTTAATGAGTTAGGAGGTATTCCCTCTGCTTCTGTCTCTTGGGTGATTGTGGAAAATTGGTATGATTCTTCCTTAAGTATTTGGTAGAACTCACCAGGAAACCCATCTGGGGCCTGGTGTTTGCTGTTTTAGAAGGTTATTAATTATTGATTCATTTTCTTTAATAGATAATAGGCCTATTCAGATGATCTATTTCTCCTTGTATGACATCTGGTAGATTTTACCTTTCGAGGAACTGGCCCATCTGATTTAGGTTATCAAATTTGTGGCCAAAGAGTTGTTCATAATATTCCTTTATTATCCTTTTAATGTCCTTAAGAGTGACAGCCTCTATTTCATTTCTAATAGTAGTAATTTCTGTCTTTTTTTCCCCTTTTTTTTTTCCTTAGTTAACTTGGCAAGAGATGTATTGATTTTATTGATCTTTTCAAAGAACCTGATTTTAGTTTTCTTTAGTTTTTAATATAATTTATTTTTCCATGGATAGAAACTTATTTTGATCTCTGCAGATCATTCTGCCCCATGTGTAAACTGTTAAGTCTTTTTTTTTAAACTGTTAAGTCTTATCCTGTGTTTTTGAATGCCTAACAGACTTACTAAACAATTTCTTACCTCTTTTATTTCTCTTTGTAGTTATATATAGAACCAGATTTTTCTTAAATGTTCCTTTATTTTCCTTTGAAGGATTACTGGTAGAGTTTTAAAGTAAATTATAAATTGTTTCAGAGAGAAAAGTCAAAAGACAAAGGCTTTACTGATGCAGCAGAAACCTTGATAAACCAAATTAATAAGAGGTATAAACCAAAGGAAGATATAAAGTCTACAAGAAAATTCAAGGAGTCTTTGATTGACAGGTATGATCTTATATTTTAGAAATAAACATTTTTCTGCCTGATACAACTAAATTACTTTACTCAATTTTAAGAAGGTAAGTTTTGAGCATGTTCAAGTAATACAATTTTCCAGCAGAAAACACCTAGATATTTACTTTTTTTTAATTAATTTTTTTAAAAGATTTTATTTATTTGCCAGAGAGAGAAAGAGAGTACACACAAGCAGGCAGAGAGGCAGGCAGAAGCAGGCTCCCTGATGAGCAAGGCGCCCTATGCGGGACTCGATCCCAGGACCCTGGCAAGACCTGAGCCGAACATCAACTTAACCAACTGAGCCACCCAGGCGTCCCTAGTTATTTACTTTTAAAAATAGTAGCTGTTTAAATTATACAGGAAGGGAACTAAATTTGAAATTAGTCTTTGTAGTAGGTGATTATTACATTTTATAAAATATCAAAAGTACCATATTGATACAGCATACCATTTCATAAATAAATCTTTGGGATATAAACATTTTAAGATTTTATTTATTGAGCCTAGTGCTGAGTAAAACTAAATATATTTAAATATATTGCTTAATGAAACATGAAATCTAAATGAGCTGAGAAGTTATTTTTATATAGTAAATATGTATTTTTTTGTTTGCAATCTTTCTGAAGGTTAGTTGTTATTAGAAATGTTTCTTTACAGGTTGATTGGTGGTTAATTCATATTTAAATTAATTCTGGCCCTATGATAAGACACAAAACAATTGCTCTCCTGGCAGAACCATTCATTTCCAGTTGCTTGGCCCCTCCTACTGCATGAATGATTCAGCTTCTCATTAACAGTCAAGGTTGCTATTTACTACAAGGGAAGCTGCAAAATTACCCGGCTAATGCCGCACGCGTCAGTTCTTTATAGCGTATTGAATGTGAACTTAGTGACCCAGAGTTTTACGTTATATAAAATGGCTTTTATGAAGAACATTATGATACTGAATTGCTTTTTTAATTTTGGCAAAACCTTTCTTATAGTGGCTTTTCAAACAAATCTGATCTGCAGCTCAGTAAGGTAGGTTTCATTTATTTAACTACCCAAGTATATAGTCAAACTCTAAATGATATTTGACTGTAAACATAAAATGGAATCGCAGGATGGGATGGCATTAGTGTTTGCAGCGTGTTGATCAATGAATTAAACAACTGACAAGTTTAATGGCAACTACTCAAAATAGTCCTCTTTCTGTTCAAATTTTCAAAACAAAACAAAAAAATGTTTCTTTTCCATATGTGAGTGTGACGTTTTCATTTTTTGGTCCCTGATTCAATAAATCTTTATTTTCATAGCTAATCCCATCTCTTCTGACAATAAGGTCCTTCCTAAGTTTCTGTTTTTTGTTTAAAAAAAATTAACATTTATTCAGGATTAAAATACCAATTATCTTTGATTTACTCCTCACAGTTACTTTCTGTGCATTTAATTTCAAGTTTTGAGGTTCACCGTCTATACATTCTTCTTAAATATCCCCTTTGCTGCCTGTGCAACTCCTTTTTCCTAGTTTGAGTTCTAATTTCCAGTCCCTGGATTATTGCAGAAGGCTTTATGTGATTCTTTTGCGTCTAGCGTTTCTCTTGCTGACCTATCCTTCTGTTCAGAAGGAGCTTTTTTCTCTCTAAAGCACACAGCTTCAGTCACGCCTATCCGTTGTGCAAAATCCCTGCTTTGGTCTCTGTTGCTTATGAAGTGGAGACTCAGGCCAGCTTGTCAAAGTCTGTCTTTATTTCCTAGTATTAGCTCCCTATGCGTGTCTCCTTTAGCTGAAGAAGAAGAACTTGAGCTTCCCTCGAGTGTCTTTCCAAGTGTTTATTCTTTTTCTTCCCCTCTTCAGAAAGCACTTGGACTGAGTCCGCGTGCTCTCGCACTCTTCTGCTCGTCAAAACTTGATTCCTCCTTGTGAGTCTTGCTTCAGAGTCTGCCTTCTTTTTAAAAACTTCCAAGGTGTCCTGACTCAGAATCCAAATGGGCAAGAATTCTCAGTCTACACACTGATTTCTTTGTACCATTGTTCGAGATTTCACTCGCTGTTGCAGTTTTTATCTCTCCTTTGTCTTCTGTTAGCGTGGGTTGGTTAGAATCATCTTTGTATCCTGTATAACACTTTTGCTTCCTTTTGTATCCTTTTTAATATTTTGGCTTATTTTTTGTGTCTTCTCTAATAGCTAGCGCAGGCTAGTACACAGTAGGTGTATTGAACAGGTGTATGTAAATGCTGGTAAAAATCCTACTGGAAAGGATAACTGAGATAAGTGATCAGAGGAGTAATATAATAAGGGATAAACTTTTTGAAAAAATACAAATAGTTATATATAAAACAGCCAAAATACAGAATAAAACTTAATATGAATAACAACTAAAATGAATAGTTTTAGTATTTCCAACTTATTAGACTTCAGAGTATTTCTGTTCAGTAATCAATCATTTAGTGATATTAATAGTGATTTTACATAAACCTTAGTCTCCTCCAAAGTTTTTCTATCTAAGACTTTAAAGCAAATGAGTCCAGGAAAAAAAGAAACATGCTTGTTTTGTGTTTCTAAAATCACTAAGGTTCAGCTTATAGTTTAGTGTTTACCTATGTACAGGAGTGTCCGTGCAAATAAAGATGTAAGAACCTTATATTTTATATTTAATTTACAGTACTTCCAATTATGTTCTTAGTACTTAAAGTCTTCAAAATTTTTATTGGTCTGGATGTTGTAATACTTTTCTCAGTTTACATTAAAGAAATGGTTACAGATGTAAAACATGAATAGAAACAAGTAGAAAAAATATGAAAATATAATTGCATATGTTGTTTGTTTGCCAAGTATACTAGTGTACAAGTTTGAATGTTATATAAACTTCTTTTGTATTTAGGAAAAGGTTCAGAAAAAAAGTTATAGACAACTGAAGACTACTTTTGTTAATGTTACTTCTGAATGCCCGTTGTAAGTAATTTTTCATAGATCTTAGTTTTATTCATATTTGAAGAAAATGTATTTATTATATAACAGTTAATATTTCTCTTCGTTTTTACAGGAATGATGTTTACAATTTTAATTTGAATGGAGCTGATGAGCCTATTATAAAACTTGGAGTAAGCTAGAAATCAGTATTTTGTATTTAGTATTTATTTTGTATTCACCATATAGTTATTATAGTGTATGTTTTTGGGTTTCCATTCTCTTGAAGATATGCTTTGAAAGAGTTTTAAATATTTTAAAATTTATTTGGCACCATTTTAGGTATATTTGGTTTCCTTTCAAATCCTCTGGACTAAAGTAGAGGAAAAATTGGTAATTGGGGCATGGGGATGGGACTCACACTACTACATCAAGAAAATCACTTTCATTCTGGATACAAGAAATTTAAAAACAATTACTCCTATTTTTTTAGTATATTTTATGGTATTAGCTTTCTTCTTAAATATAAAAATATTTTAGTAAACTTAATTTTACGGCTGCATCTTATGAAAGTTATAGAAACTATAATTTTAATTTTTATTTACCTTATTTCAACACTAAGAAATAGTGTTTAATATTTATTTACAATATAGATCCAGGAATTTCAAGCTACAGCTACAGAAGCCTGTGTGGATAATTCAATAAAACTGTAGGTGCTTTTATTATAATTAGATGGATCAAATTAAAATAAACTTCTCAATTGTTCTTTGTCTTCAAAATTTCTCACACTTTGAGAGTATTTAACAGATGAGAAGAATGAATAAAAAATGCTACTGCCATGATTACCTCCATTCTATTTCTAATATTTCAGCCTTTGCTTCTAACATTAATGTGTAGATTCTGTGTACTTTTAATATTAGTTGTGTCTCTTAGATGATAAAGCTGAAAGAACTCAGTCCTTTCATCTGACCTTGTTATTTTTATAATTAACTGAGGTCAGAGAACATAAGCAATTTGGCCAGAATTATATAGTGAATTAGTAATGTCTAACTGTCCAGTATATGTTACCTTAAGAGAACAAATAACTAAAGTTAATTAAAATTTATGAATATTTTTGTTTAAGGATAGGTTTAAGGAATCATGATGAACTTGAAACTTCTCTCAAAACAAAAGATAAAAGAGTAAGTTATATCCTAATTGCCTATTAATAGCAGTATTTTAAAAATAATTTTCCAATGCCAAAGATGATCACAGATCTAGAAAACAAAATCATTTGGAATTTTTCCCCCTCTGTGGGATTATCCACCTGCCCACTATGACTTCGGCATGGTCTTTGAGCTATTTGTAATCATCTAATAATAGAAGATACGACAGCTTTACTTTCTTTGATGACATTGGCATATGTCTCTGTGGGAATAAGCAGTTTTAACAACAAAATATGAATCTCAGTCTCTGCTCTGGATTTCTGAGTGACTTTCTAGATATGTTTTCCTTAATGCCAGGTAGATTAGTATGCCAAAAAATTAAGAAGTTAGTTTTTCTGTTGCTTGAGGGCGGTTTTTGGTTTTGTTTTGTTTTGGCTTAACTTACCTTACATAACATAATAATGAGACACATTTCTTCATCTATTACAAGGATTCTTTTTTTTTTTTTTTTTTGTAGATTGTAACAAATCCTAAAAAGAAAAATCTTTTTAGTGATACTGACACAGAATACAGATGTGATGACAGCAAGACTGATGTCAGCTGGCTAAAGGAACCAAAGTCAAAACCACAACTAATAGACTATAGCAGAAATAAAAACATGAAGAAACCTAAAAGTGGGAAATCAAGTAAGAAATCACTTTTTAGAGAAATGTTGCAAATGATTTTACCATTTCAAGTACATGAAATGCTTTGTTGGTTGATAAGTATATTTGTGTATGTAGTTCGTGTTTGCAACTACACAGCCTTGTGAATAGAACAGAGCAACATTTTGGTTTTTGTTTTCTCATTTTTAGTAATATGGTTCTATATAAATTATTTTTTTTACCAGGATCTTAGAGACGCAAAATATGCCTGTCATATTTTTTGATTCATGCATCCTCTCATTTGTCTACTCATGGCCTACTGTTGTTATTCAGTTATTTAGCAATTATTGTGAATGACGTATTATTAAGTACTCATGAAACCAACACTCTAAGCAAAAATCAAATCTTGGACATCCCATTCCCTGTCACACCCACACATATTCTTTTTAGGAATTCACATAGAATGCATATAAAGATATATTGTAAGGAAAACAATTTTCTTGCAGAAATACCTTCCACAGATTTTTCTTTTTAAGATTTTATTTATTTATTTGAGAGAGAGAGTGAGAAAGAAAGAGAGAACATGAGAGGATCATGACCTGAGCTGAAGGCTGTCGCTTAACCAACTGAGCCACCTAGGCGCCCCACAGGTTATCTTCCCAGCATATGGCTTCTGCTTTGTCTAGTGACTCTCTTGAAGTAGTTGGATAAGAGTTTGAGGTATGGGTTTTTAGCTAGAACCTAATAACCATTTTCCTGGATTGTTTGCTAAAACACAAAGATTTCATATATTCCATTTTTAAAAGAAGACAGCATAACTCTGAACTTTTAAATTGATATGTATTTTAAGGGAATCAGCTTTTAGGTCAGGATAAAAATAACCAATAGTAACCTTTGTGCATATGTCAGGGGGAGCAGGTGATGACTTAAATAGAAGTAAAAATAGAAATATGGAAGTGAAGTTTGGCATGTGTTCATAAACGAGGTTGAATCTTGAAAACAGATAAGGCCTATTATATACATGTGGGAGAGAAGCAACAGTATTATCACCTGTAAAAGAGACAAGTGTGAAAGAGCATCATGTGTTACTGCAGGGATTGTAGCATTGGGGTAGTTGGAACATAGATCAGACTTGGGGGGAGATGTTGAAAGACGCACTGTGGCTGGTCACATGTCTGGACTTCGAAGCAGTATGTTCTAAGCCAAGGGGAAACAGAAGATTCACATGTTCTCAGGGAGTTTACAGTCACTTATAACAGAGAGTAGATAATCAGAGATTTTGAGGAGACCATTCGGGGTTAGAATACTGTCACCAGTAAGTACTTCCAAAATTGAACTTCTGAGTGAAGTTTTGTTTGAATAGCCAAGTGACTGCCAGTCAGTGTGTAGGGGCTGGCTTCTTGCCAGGACTGGAAGACCTTCCTCCCAGAACTTCATTGCTTCGTTGGTGTGGGTAGTTTCTTAGGCTTCAGAGAATATTTAGAAAGTTGATTGTGCTTGAAAGGCAAAAAAGGGAATAGAAACTGAAGCTATTCTCAGTAATATGGATGAATCTTAGGAACCATGGTGAAGAATAAAGCAAACAATACAAAATTACGTATGAGATGATACTGTTTTATAGAGCTCACTGTATTGTTTAGGGATACATATCTGTGAAGTCAAAGTTTCTTTTTTAAGACCAAGTGAATGAGAAACAATTCAATATAATGAAAATTTCCCTTTCGGCAGAGGGGTATTGAGCACCCTAGAGATGCTCATAATTACACATAAAGAAAACAGCGCCACTCAGCGTCCGGCTCTTAGACTGAGTGGGAGACGCATCTAGGTATTCATTATGACTTATGTATTCTCTTGCATGTCTAAAAATTTTAGGATGTAAAGGAGGAGAAAGGAAATTGGTAATTCATATCCTACCAAACATTAATAAGTTATCAATGTCAATGTAGCCTCAAATCATCTTGAAATTTAAATTTTTGAATGAGTTTAAAGATATGTTCTTGTTATGATTTTAACTTCTATGCAAAAATATTCTAATAAATTTTAATGCCAGTTCATATCTATTTGAAAACTCATTTTCTTGAATTGCAGAACCATCTTTGGAAAGGGGACAACCAAGATCTAAAGTGGTAAAGCCAAGAAGTTTGTGTTCAAACATCACTTTAGTATTATTTTTCTTCTGTCATGTAAAAAGCTTCATTTTTCATCTCATAATTTTATCCTTATTTGTTACTTGTTTTTCCATAATTGTTCTAGACTTCGCATGCATCCTCCTGCCTTCTGCCTTTTTGGATCATGTTGGCCTGTTTTAGGTCTATTTTATTCTGTAGTTATAGGAACTTTTTATATCTCTGCTTCTCTTTTTTTCCTCTCCTTCTCTTTTTTATGTAAGTTAGGTAATATATACCAGGCCTCCCAGAGCTTTAATGATGGGGATTTAAAAAAAGGTAATAGAGAAGATATTTGGGTGGAAAGATAAAATCGCATCTTTCAAAAATGTTAATCAGGAGTCCTTTTTATTCCTACAAATATTTTATGTATTTCTTGTCACAGTGCCAGTTTTATAGAAAATAGCTTATATTTCTTATATCTCAAATACTGACCTAATAATTCAGAAATTTTTCTCCTAAAGACACCCAACAAAAACATCACCAAAAAGGTAGAGGAGACAGTTCCAGATGGGAGAACCAGACTTCCACGAAGAGCAGCAAAAACCAAAAAAAATTATAAAGATCTCTCAAATTCAGAATCAGAAAGTGAACAAGAATTTTCACATTCGTTTAAAGAGAAATTGCTAGTAAAGGTAAATAGTTACAAGTCAGAAAAAAATTTCTGAAAAGCCTGTGAAAATACTAAACAATATATTTTTGCAGAAATGTCAAATTTGTCACATCTTAAGATTAAACCTTCTATATGAGAAATTGTATAGACTGAAAATTGATGTTCAGGCAATATGTAAATTTGTGAGAAGTTGGCATTAGTGTTATAAAACAGATGTTTGACTCTAGGCAAATGATAACTTGAAGATAATATCTTTGAATTAGAGAAGTGCTTGATCTTTCCAAAATTTTACTTCAAGAAAGTGCAGACTATTGGGAAGCAGTGAATCTTTCTCTTGAATGGACCTGAGGTTCTTCCTATACACTGCCCAACCTGTGTCCATGCCTGGTTTCTGTCCTGAAAGTTACATACGTATGCCTAGCCATCTGTGCTTGAAAGCTTTTTTAACAAAGTAAAAAGCAAAAAAAAAAAACAAAAAACAAAAACAAAACAATAATAACAACAATCCAGTGCTTACAGTGTGCCAGGTGCTATGCCAAGTACCTTAACATCTTAAAATCTCTCAAGTACCATACGTGATTAGTACTCGTATTGACATCGCATTTTACAAACGAGAAATTAGGGCTTAGAGAGATAAAGGAACTTGCCCAAGGTCACACAGGTAGGCGGTGGTAAAACAAAGTTGTGAACCCAAAGAGTCTAGCACTAAAGGTAGGTCTCTGACCATTCCACTGTGCTAACATCACATCAGTAAACTTCCACCTCCCCTTGTTCATAACCTTGCTATCCTTTACTTGGAAGACTTTAAGGACTTTGTGACTTATCTCCACATTTTCTATCACTTCTTACTTTAATTTACTATACATATAGCTGTTTGTCTTCCTAAGCCACCTCTCCTTTTATCCCTCTTCAAAGAAAAACCCTGAAAATCTCCATACAGTGAAATAGTGCATCAGAATACCTCTGCACACTCACTGCCCCTGTACCCTGGCGTGTTCCCAGAGCTGAAACAAATGGAATAGCCTGTGACTCCCTAACAGGACCTGTGGCGGGCTCGCGGCGCCAGCGCACAGACCCAGGGAGACCCCTGCCTCTCCGCCTCCTGGGCTCTGTCAGGGGTCGCCCCTGGCCTTTGTAGGTCTTCCTTCACCTTCACGACTTATAAAAGTTGTTCTTTTACAACTCCCAAGCATGTCAGGTGCCATGAAATCCAGGAACTCTTTCTGGTTTCCCCAAACTGATTATAATTTTCTCCTTAACAGCATTTTGGTATTTCTTATGCTATTATAGTCCATGTATTTTTTCCTGTGAATTTGTCATAGGTCTTCTAATATATTAGAAAGTCCTTCACTACTCATGTTGAGGCCCCTGTTATGCCTGTAAATAGTAATAGGAGATATTTGGTAATTTCAGCATAATTTGTCTTATATGCCTAAGTATAACTTATCTGTATTCAAGTATGATCTGAAAGTTATCAATACCTTTAGGAGGAGAATATCCATTCCAGAAGCAAAACCATGAAGCTGCCAAAAAAACAACAGAACATCTTCTCTGCTGAAACACAAAAGGATATATCAAAGGAATGGAAAAATTCATCTCTCCTAAAAGATGCTATAAGAGATAATAGCCTTGACTTATCTCCTATATCCTTATCTGGGAGCCCATCATCTATAGAAGTAATGAGATGTCAGTATCATTTTTTTCTTTTAAATATTCAATAAGTTTCTATTATGATTCTAATTGTGTGAAAATACAGTTTAAAGATTAATCTTAAACATGCCCTTCAAAATTATAGGTAGTTAAAACATCATTTTTTGAGCTAGTTAATGCTGGTAACTTGGTCTTTGCGAAGTAGACATTAGGACAGTGTCCATGTGACGCTCATGTCTTTCATGATAGGAAGTTAAAGATCAAATGCTTCAATGTGGAAAATATTTAATGTATATTTACAAATTATAATGTGCTGAATAAACTTTCAGATTTTTAATCCCCAAATATATTTAATAATGTGAAAATAATGATGGGGATTTCTACTTTCTCTTTTTTACATTTCATTGACAAAAGTCTCTAAGGAATATCATGGTCATTCTGTGAACCCACAGTAGGTTATCTTCATGATTTGAGGTTTGCTTTTATTTAAAAATAACTGACAAATACTCATATTTTTTGGAGCTCTGGTGTATAGTACACACAAACACATACACACATCACACACTTTTCTAGCACAGAAGCTGTAAGTTTGTACTTTTATCTTTTTCACTTCCCTTTAAAGATATTTTAAAACATTTCCAAGTATCCATCTTTTCAGTTAAAATACAGGATTTAAATAAGTTAACATACTTCCTCCAAAGTAGTATTTTGTTCTTTTCTAGAATATTTCCATAGTGCTCAGGACCACTGTCATGTCAGATAACCACACACTGGAAGACAGATGTACATGCCCTTATTCGACCTGAAAACTGTCTGAGAATTCATTTATACCAAGACTTATTTTGGCCATGAATTTGCTCATCTATATATGAAAGATTGAGATAAGATGATTTCCCAAGCCATCTCCAACCAGAAAATTCTGTGGCTTTACTATGTGACTATTGGCTATGATGTCAAAATACTCAGGACAATACTTAGGTTTATCTTCACAGAGCAGCTCATACCACAGATATTTTTGTTTGAGCTCTTGAAAGTTCTTATGATTACATTTTAAATTGAACTGTAGTATTTTTCAGAATCTTACAAAATTGGTCTTGATTTATTATCTATTTAAATATAGATAAAATTTGAGGATTTGGTTAATTATTATATTAGAATGTAATCGTACTATTTCTGAAGCAGTCACCAGTGATAATACTTGCCATGTGTTTCTTGTGTTTTGTGATGCAATGCAGGTATAGAGAAAATAAGAGAAAGGAATTTTACTCAGGATTATGACCGTATAACAAACTCCCTATCACCTTCTCCAAAAACTTCATCCCCTGAATCCTTAAGCAGTAAATATGGAGTTGGAGGTCCAAAAAAGTCACCTAAAAACAGTGACAAAAATTTATGTGCAAGAGAAAGTTGCTCGCTAATTCCACGATCCTTCTTGTTGGTAAGAATATACATTATTTTTTTCCTTATCAGATATATCTGAAGGGGGTAAATCATTTCCTTCTAATTTTAATCAAATACACATTGCTTATCCACCTAACATAAGGCTCAGGGTTTGGTCTGTGGGAGAAGAGTAACCTACTGATGAGTAAAATAGCCTCCGTGAAACCTAGACTAGCAAGGGGCTGTGCAGGAGGAAGGCCGTGCTGGTGTGGGAAGCACTGAGTGCCGCTGGTATTGGGATCGGAGGGCTCGCCTCCCCAGAGGCGCTACTCACTTGTCTGTACGTCCAAATCACATAGTTACTGAATGAATATTAACAAATTTAATGATACAGGAAAAATTCTTTATATATGTATATACCATTTTTTCTCAATATGTAGGTATGTTCACAGGGTTGTAAAAAGACATTAAAGACAGGAAGCAGTTACGGTCCAAGCGAGGGAGGGCAGCTAACACCCGTGCCTACAAGGAAGTTTGCAGTTGTGGATACTTCGGTGCCACTTTACAAACCCCACCCCGCCTCCACTCCCCACCCCCACCCCCGTTTTCTTGGCTTGGGTTGTATAAATGGCTTAAATTAGAGAATTTTAGAGCAGTAATCAAGTTACAGAACTGACTGCCGAGATAATATAGTTTACTGTAACTGGGTATAGCAGGAGAGTTGTGAGTCAGACAGATTGGCATTCAAATCCTGGCTCCGCTCTTTGCTAACTGTGTCACATTTTACAAGTTAATGAATCCCTCCGCACCTCAGTTTTCTCATCTGCACAGTGGGACTGTGAAAAATTAGTCTGATTATTTAAGCGTTAATACCTGATACATAGTAAATACCCAAATACATTCTTCTCTTGATAGGTGCTAACCTCTGCGTACAGAGATGGAATCAGGGAGAGTTCAGTACACCTACAGCCGCGATCTAAAACCTCTGATAACACCAAATTTCTGCCCTAACCATTTGTAATTGAATGTTTGTATTCCTACCGTGTTTTAAGGGCCTTTTATTCTGGTTAGCCAGTAGTCCTCACAGAGAATGTTTCTAACAAAATCTCTCACGAAAGGGGCGCCTGGGTGGCTCGGTGGGTTAAAGCCTCTGCCTTCGGCTCGGGTCGTGATCCCAGGGTCCTGGGATCGAGCCCCACATCGGGCTCTCTGCTCCGCGGAGGGCCTGCTTCCTCCTCTCTCTCTGCCTGCCTCCCTGCCTACTTGTGATCTCTCTCTCTGTCAAATGAATAAAGAAAATCTTAAAAAAAAAAAAAAAAATCTCTCATGAAAGCACCAATGCACCAAACGGATGGGAATGGAGCTCTGCTGTTTAAAGCAGACAGGAGGTCTGCAGCCTAGACTCCTCAGCCTCCCTCCCCAGTCATCCCTCCCCAGTCATCCCCAAGGCACCTTTGCAGTCCTTTGTCAGTAATGCTCTGCCATCCTTGGTTTCCCTGATTCCTTCCTCCCCTCGGTACTCCATCTTGAAATCTCAAAACCTAGGTAATCCCCTGCCCACTTTCTTTTATGCTGCTCAGTGCTAGTTGGAATTTTAATTGTCACATACTTACTGGCCATTTGTTTCCCATTTACTGTTGACTCTTAGATATCGGGAATTTGTTATCTAAATAGTTGTGTCAGCTTGTACTCTCCAGCACTGGTCTGTGACCGTCCCGTTTCTCTGCAGCTTTAACCGCTTGTTACCAGATGGTTCTCTTTTTGCCAATCTGTAAGTGTAGTGAGGAACTTTACTCTGCATTTTGCTGATTAACAGCATCAGTATTTCATGTTTTTTGACAGGTTTGTGAATTGCCTTTTTTTTATATCATCTGATTTTTCTTAGAAATTTGTAGGAGTTCTTAAAATATTTTAGATATTAATTCTGTATTGGTTATATACAATGCAAACATTCTTTTTCCAGTAAGTTATCTTTTCACTTCAATAAAAAACTTCCATAGGACAAAAATTGAGACCATAAAATTGACCAGTCTTTGTGTTCAACAAATCCCTCAGCTACTGTCCTGTTCCTTCCTGGTTAAAAGTGTTAGTTTTGATTCCTTTCAACTTTTAGGTTTTCAGTCTTTCTAAGATTTCTCTTTGCACATGGGTAGTGAGTTAGTGCAGGATCATGCCTGAGTGCCCCGCTGGCTCCGCCGTCTGCAGTGCTCCTCTGGGCCCAGCCCGGCAGTGGAGCGCTGCGGCAGCGGCCAGGTGAGCTCCAGTGTGCTGCGGCCCCGGGGCTCTCCTCAGCGGGGCCTCCCGGGAGCTTCACCACCCTCGCCTTGTACTTTCACATGCTCTGGGCCCTCTACTCACTCGTGTAAATTTCGCAGTTTGTCTAAGGGGATTGCCGTTTCCCAAGATTGATACTGAGCTTTCGTGTCCACATATTTTTCTCTCTACATTTTGGTGATATTTCCAAAAAAATTATGCCAAATCTTCCACAGAGAAATTAGATTAATTCTTGTGTTTTATGGATTTTCTTTTTGCTGTATTAAAAAAGCTGAATTTTCTGGGCATTTAATTTTTTGCTTTTGCATAGAAACACTATTGATTTTTATATCTCCAACTACCTTGACTAATTCTGTCATAATTCCCTGCCTAGGCCCTCTTGTTAAGGAGATGATGACCGTGCGGACAATGTTCACTAGATACTGTACCAATAGGCATGCTTATTCTGTAGTTCTTGGTGGGTACTTTGATCAAATTAATGTTTTAGTTGTCTAAGGATTTTTTCACCCTTTAATTGTGAATGGTTGTTGAATTTTAGCAGCAAATGAATTATTCCCTCAAAACATAAGTAGTTTTGGTTTCATATTGTTGTGTTTTGGCTTTAAATAATTTTCTAATTTCCTTTGGGTTTGTATATGTCTTATTCATTCATAGCCCAGGCATACTCCAATTAATAATACTGTTGTGAATAGAAAAAATATAAATTCTGTGGTACTTACACAAGATATACACAATTGCAACAGCTACTCAGATGTAAGCATTTATAGTTCAGAAAAAAGTTGATGGAAGTTGAACTTGCAAACAATAATGAAAATCCTGTATAAAGCAATAGCTGTTTAAAGGGTAGTATAACCATCCAATTTAAACTAAGATTGTTCTTACAAAAATCAGATAACTGTTCTTTAATAATAGTTATATTTTAATATTTTTAACTTACTGAAAATCTGATGTTCAAAGTACGAAGGATGGCTTGATGTTGGAAAAAAGTTGAAATTTTTAAAATGAGAAGTTGTAAGGTCTTAAATAGGATATAGCGGCTGAATCACTGACTTACATAGTTATAACAGGGACTTTCGGGTTTCATGATTATATAGAAATTTGGCTGAGCTTTGTGCCACTGTAGCAGTCCATCAGTCCATCGTCAAAAATATTGTAATAACCTGTAAAACACAGAAAGGTAAGGCGGAATTTTATAACCTGGGGAGGGCTCGACCTCCACCTCAGTGGATAGGTTTCTGTTCCTTCTCCGCTTGGTCAGTATCTACCGACCCCCTAATACGTAGAGGAAGGTGACTGGGTGGGCATGCATTTTCATGGAATAGGAAAAGGACTCATTTGACTGGAATGGAGAAGCTTGTGTACAGGAAAACGCCAGGTTAGATTAAAAAAAGATGTTGAAAAGTAGGTTGAGAAAAGAGTTTTGACTTCTATTTTGTGTGGCTTCCCATTCCCCAACTCAAAGAAATCAAAATCCTAAGGAAGAATGGAAAACCGGGAGAGTGTTGAGAAAGCCAGCTGAAAACTATTGCTACAATGTAGGATTGAGACGGACATAAGCTTTCCATCAGTGTGTGGTTGTGGTGAGATGCAGAGGAAGGGGTAGAAACAGAACTACCTGAAAAAGGAACGGACCACATTTGCGATTCATGGCTTCGCGGTTTGAGAAACATGGTCACGGGTGAAGCAAGAGCACTTACAGAATTTTCCAATTTCTAATATCTGTTTTAGGGAGGTCATTCCGCATCTCCACTATCCCTGTCTAGTGAAGAAAGAGAGCAGATATGGTGTGACTTGCCTTGTGGCTCTACTCATATGTCAGGTTTGTAGTCCTAGCCCTGCTTTAAAAACAGCATCACTGAAATACTACTGCGGGGAATTATCGTTTAAGACATAACATTTATCAGTTTAGTTAGTCGAATGGAAAATAGAACTTAATGCACTATTGCCTTAAAACAAATAATTGAAAGCTTGTGGGTTTTTTTTTATAAAAGCAAGAAAATTGTTTGATATTTTTAATCAAGATTGTAGCACCATTTTTTTAACTGTATCTAAGGCCCCACACAGCATCGTAGTCGCAAACGAATGTACATAGAAGATGATCTAAGTAATGCTGATGAAATAGAGTTGGAAGAAGAGGAGGAAGGGAGAGTATACTTGCTTCCCAAAAAAGTATCTAAAACTGAGGATAGAGATCATCACACTTACAAAGGTAGGTAGAATAAATGCCTTTGTCAAAATGCAATTGTTGTGGAAGGTGGTTTCTTAGATCTCAGTTGATACACACACACACACACACACACACACACACACACACACACACACACACAAAATGCCCTCTGTAAAGGGAACTCTGGATAAGTCTAATAAGGGTAATGCTTTATCACAAAGTTCACTTTCTGTGAAAAATATAGTTGTAAGGGTCTGTTTTGTACTCAGAAATGTCCTTTATGATTCTATTATTGATTACCACATATAAGCTTTACTAGAATATAAATTTACTGATCAGTATGTCACCAAATATTGGGTTATTAACATAGAAATAATTAAAAAATGATCAGTTCAAAAATGTTCCATCCCAGTGTTACCATTGCCAAGAGGATTTTTTAGAAATCAAAATAGTTTTAAATTGAAAAATAGGAGGTCTTTTATGTCATAATTCTTAGATCACACACAGAATCTGAAAATAAGACTTTGTTCTCAGTTTCATAAGACTTCTAAACTTCCTGAAGTTTAGATTCAGACTAAATTTGTAATAATGTATATTTTAACTTTACTTGATTATCTTCATTTTTTAGTATCTGGAAGTGTATCTCCATTATCAACAAATGACTTTTCTTTCCCTGGGGAGAGCTGGGAAAGTGAGATCGCCGAGCTAGGGGTGATGTGCGAGAGCCTCAACACAGAATTTAGGAGGAAGTTCGATGTGAGTTACCATTCTTTAAATTATGACTTCTACCCAATAGTATGATAAGATACTACCTTTCTACGAGACTGTCAGCTGGGTTTGATCCTTTGGCAACAAAATACCCATTTAACTCCCTTGGTCCTCACGGACTGGTGAAAAGTGGAGTAATTTGTCTTCGGAGCCAGGTTTCTCTTCTAAAACCTGTGCGTTATCCATATTCTTTCTTTTCCTAGATTCTTTTCTCTTTGTCTTATTTCCCTTTTCAATTTGCTTACCATTTGGACTCTTGGCATGATTTTTCTTCTTTTCTGAACGATTTTCTTTTCGTGCCTCATCTTTTTCTTGCACGGGGATGACAATAGAGAGAGCACCCTCACAGCGTGGAAAGGATGCAAGCCCGCTGGTTCTGTGTCACCAGGTCTCCACACCTACGGTGCCTTAGCTGCTAAGGCTCCGGTGAGGTGATGTTTGCAAAAATACTTTCTAGAACAATTTTTAATTATTGTTTTCTCCACCTACCTCTTTTTCCTCACATGCCTGTGTTTAGAATAATTCTTGGCCTGCTGTTAACCTGTGCAGAAAAATGTCTTTTATCACTAGCCCCATCTCTTATCTTTTTCTTCTCTTTAAAACTAAGATTCTGGGGGCGCCTGGGTGGCTCAGTGGGTTAGGCCGCTGCCTTCGGCTCGGGTCATGATCTCAGGATCCTGGGATCGAGCCCCGCCTCGGGCTCTCTGCTCAGCAGGGAACCTGCTTCCTCCTCTCCCTCCGCCTGCCTCTCTGCCTGCTTGTGATCTCTCTCTGTCAAATAAATAAATAAATAAATCTTTAAAAAAACAAAACAAAACAAAAAACCCCACTAAGATTCTGTATATTTCATTTTAATTATCAAAGGTCAAACTAATCTCAACAGCAAAGCCCTGATTTATATATTCTATTCTGTGTCTGGCTGCGTCTAGCAAAATGTTTCCATGGAAGTTGGTAACAATTCTGAGTGTGACTTTTGACTTTGTTCCTGAAGAGAATTATAATCAGTAGCATTTTTGTAAATAATGTAGACTGCGGTGTCTTTACAAAACCAGTGATCAGTTAAACCCTTAGTCAAAACCTTCCTGTTGGAACCGGATGCTGCTCCAACTGGATTGATTTATGAGCACTGGGTTTAGGTTTTCATTTGTCACTTTTCTGAATTCCTCGTAATCATTTCCATGGTCAAGGCTTTGTTTGTAACATAGTCTTGGTTAGATAATTTTGTGAAGAGTTTTCAAGTTAAATATTAGTGTTTTTCAGATCCGCCAGAAAGTGATGGATTATTTTACAAAGCAGTCTTGGAAAACGGCTCAACAACATCTGAACACAATGAAGCATCAGATTCAGGAGTACAGGTCTGTAATAAAAACCTCTTTGGAAAACTTCTGAATGCTACAGTTTACAAAAAATAATCTCATTTTATTTCTTTACTAGGATCAAAAAACTTGACAAGTTCCAATTCATCATCATAGAGGAGCTGGAAAATTTTGAAAAAGATTCACAGTCTTTAAAAGATTTGGAGAAGGAGTTTGTGGTTTGTGCTTTTAAGAACTACACTTGGGAAAACTGTTAATTTTGTTCCTTAGAAAATAGTCTTAGATTGCATGGACACACATAGACTGAATCTTATGCTGAGTAGTGCCTTTGATAATAAGGGGAAAACCCTGAAAGAGAGTGTGTAATATCTAGAATATGCTTAGCATATAGCCACATTGTTTAAATTGGGAGTATAGTAATCATCCAAGTGTTAATTTTTATATTTTAAAATTAAGGATTTCTGGGAGAAGACATTTCAGAAGTTCAATGCCTATCAAAAAAGTGAACAGCAGAGGTTAGTGTGACGTCCTTAATCAAACTATAATCGCTATATTACCGCAATGCAGTGTAAAATGATAACGACAAAGGTAATTCCTTTCGTTAGGCTTCACCTTTTGAAAGCATCACTGGACAAAAATGTCTTCTACAGCACTGATTACGAAGACACTGTTTTTACATCTGAGGTACCAGCTTTTACATGTTTATACATAATCTCTCGCAATACCTCTTTGCTGTGAAAGTTTTACAGTAAATTTCATAGATGAAATGTGTATTTTCAGATGTGTTCGATGAAAGAAAACATGAAAATGCTCCAAGACAGGCTCCTGAAGGAAACGGTGAGTCCCCTCAGGGGTCAGGGATTCACGTGGATTGGCCACCAGTGAGGGGCAAGTCTTTCACAGGCTTGTCTTTTGTTTTGGTTTGAGAGACAGTTTCAGCCCAGTGATTCTTATTGTTTAAATTAGAATAGTGGGAGCAAACTTACTTTAATCACCTCTATTAGTATTTTACTATGAGTCCCTCCTAAGGAGAAAAAGGAATATCAGTTTGCAGATTTTAAAATGAGCTAAAAGAATGATTTCTTTGTCCTGTGTCCAAGCACTGTGCCCTGCAGAGGACCTCTGCTGTGCCTTCTGCAGAAGGTGTGTCAGGACAGAGCCACGGGGACAACAGGATTTCCTTTACTTCAATTTGAGGATAGAAGTGTAGTTGCCTTTCCTGAGGTCTGGTAGACCCACAGCTGCACTGTGGGGGAAAAGCAGTCCTGAGGGGGGCGCAGGTCATCTTCGGTGTTGTCTCGGAGATGGCAGACCTTCTTAGGACCCTGTAATGTAGCCCGCACACAAAGATGCGTGCGACGTACTTGCCCAGTTTCAGTAGACGCTCACGGCGCCGGACTGGCGGAGGCACTTACGGCTGAGACACCTTAGCTTGAAGCGAACAAGCTGACTGACTAGACTGGTCAATGAAATTCAGTCTAGAGAAAAAATTCAACAATTTGGGGTTTTAAAGACTGGATCTCTCAATTGATCTAGAATATCAGTGATGATCCCTGAACTCTGTAGCTAGCTAGGAACAGATCCTGGGGGCAGAGGCATAAGATAGAATGAGCACTGATACAAAATATCTTTACAAAAAGGATTGTTTTAAAAAGAAGCCCAAGTAATAGCCCCCCCCCCCGCCCCTGTTTGGTGGTCTTACAGTGATAATTTAAAATCTAAGTGTGATTTTTATCCCCCCCCCCCCGGCTCTAGCAAGAAGAGGAGCTTCTTAATGTACGCAGAGGACTGATGTCATTGTTCATGGCTCATGAAAGAAATGTTCGTGTGTGATGTCTAGTTGTTATCAACAGGTTTTATCCACTTATTCCTTTTTGTGTATAACAGGAAATACCAGAGTAGCCCTACAAAGAGAAAAATACACATGTCACCCCGGCCAGAGTGCTTTTGTAGGGGCCTCCAAACCCAAAGAAATGTCGCCTTATGGATGTGAAAGAACCACTTTAACATGACTGCAGCCTCCAGAGACTTCTGCCTGTAGAATACTGCTCTTCTTTGAAAGGGAAATTTGGGGGAACCAAACAGTAAAAAGAATTTGCTTGTTTTTGTGGTAATATTTACATTGCACAAATCTTACCGAGTTAACTACACTCATAAAACTAGTTTCTTTAATAAACTAAGGTTTATCATATAAAATATTTTTAAAAGAATGCAGTTTGGACCAAATAGAAGTATTACTAGTACAGAATATACTACATGTAATAAAAATTCAGCATGCTGAGAAAGGCTAAAGGCTCGGATGTAAAACCCTTACCTGAGTGGAAGCCAGTGCTCTGAGTGCGCTCGGAGAGCGTGGACGTTTGGCTGCGCTTCCACTTACTGCGCTGTTGAGACATCGTCGCTGTAGGTAGAAGGCTCAGCTCAAGCAGCTGTTTTCACTGGTTCTTTTTAAGCTCCTAGTACTCATTGTAATAGTATCTTGCTAACATAAAAATATACATGTTTTAACTATATATTAAAGTTGAAATAAATGCTCTGTGACTTAAATAGTATTATAAATAAAAAGTTATTTGATGAATATTGGCTCAAACAAAACATCCTTCTCCCATCAGACATCTGAGGCAGGATAGAAAGCGGCCTCACTCCCCACTGCTGGCCTACAGAAGGGTGGCCGAGGGTGGGAATACTACCGGTATTTAAGTCCAGTGGAAAAAGCAGCTTTCCTAGCGTAGACAAGCAGAGGGATTCAGTTTGTGGAAGGGCAGCAGGGACTCTACGTCAGGAGACAGTGACTGTTCTGCTCTGACAGTGACCTCCGCTCAGGAGCTGGAACCCCACGGAGCCCTGTGCAGCTTTAGGACTCCTGTTTGCCTCCTGTCTGGCCACACTTCCAAGGAGTCACACACATTCCCACCCTGCACTGTGTGTGTGTGTGACCCGGCCCAGGTCTCTGCTGCGACCTGCTCAGCAGCAGTCCGTGCCACCTGCTGAATCTCCCTTTCCAACGCCCTTTTCACCGCGACCTTCCTCCCCTGCAGCTTGCTTTCTGGAGTGGCCTGGGCTGCTCACTCCTCCACCGTCTGGCTGTACCCGTTACCTTCCTCCTTGTCCCTCTTTCCTTCCCTACCCATGATAGATCCTCCAGTCCACAATCACACTCTTCTTCCCCCCTCACCTCTCACTGAATCTGCCAACTCACACCCTTCATTCCGGAATCTCAACATCACTAGAGAAGAGTTAAAATCAGACTTAAATTTATGACCCCATATTTTACAGCAATCCTACTTCTGCCCTGACTTGACCACATTTCCAGAGTATTACCGACTATCAATGCCGCATTCCTTGATTCTTTACCTTGATTCTTTACTATCACTGCCGCATTCCCTGATTCTTTGGCCTAGCTTCATACTGTCCTCATCTTTTCTCCCAGGCTGTTACCGGCACCAATACTAGCCTTTTCTGATTTCCCGCATGTTCCTGTGGCAGACTTATCTTTTTATGTAAGGACCGTCCCCCTGCTAGTGCTCGGAATCCTGTGGTCTCTGCTTCTCTCCCAGTGTGCATAGCCCACACTTACCGCACACACACACGCACACACACGAATGCCCCTGGTTCAAGTTCCCCTCTGACTGCTGCCCATCCGATGTAATTCTCTGCTCCCCTTTACATAGAACATAGGGAAAGAATTTTCTCTAGTTACTATTTCACTGAACCTACTTTTTATCAAAACCACCAGTGATTAATTTTACCAAGTATACTCCCATCTTTTTTTTTTTTTTTAAAGATTTTATTTATTCATTACAGAGAGAGCACAAGCCAGGCGGAGGAGCAGAGGGAGAAGGAGACTCCCCTCCCCAAGCAGGGAGCCCAGTGTGGGGCTCCATCCCTGGCCCTTGGGATCAAGCCCTGAGCTGAAGGCAGATGCTTAACTGACTAAGCCACCCAGTTGCCCCAATCTCCATCTTCTTAACTCCGCTTCACCCAGACTTCAGCTGGCGTATTTTCCATTCCCTAGCTCTTTCCTGGCTTCCCTTTTCCTCTTAATGTAGGGCTCATTCCTGGTCTGTTACTTTTCCTCAATCTACGTTTCCTTAGGTAACTTCATATGGTTCCGTGTAATAGACGTCTCTGTGTTGACGGCTTGCAGATGCATACGAATTCTGACATTTATTTTGGACATTAGCATGGCGCACACTGCTTTGTGGACAGTTCTAATAAGCATCTCAAGTCTCAGAACAGCCCTTGAGCTCTGTCCCTCAGTACTCTTTCTCAACACCAAAGGGAAAACCTTTTCTTTTCATCTCTCTCATCCACCCAACTGTGCAAGCCAAAACCTACAATTCCTGATTTCTCTCTTCCCCTTGGTCACTTAGTTGATCAAGTCCTGCAGATTTTACTGCCAAAATATGTCCCCCATATGTGTAATTTCTGTCACTTATGCTGACAACTGCACAGACCTCCTAAAAGGCTTTCCAGCGCTCATACTTTCCGCAGCCCTTTACTCACTCCGCAGCCAAGACATCCTCGCTAAGCTGTAAATCCTAGCTTGCCTCTTCCTTATATCAAACTCTCCAGTGACCACGTACTCTTAGCCAGAGAGTCAAAGAAGAAACCACAGGGAAATTAGAAAATACTTTGGGGCAAAGGAAAGTGAAACATTCTGAAACTGAAGTGATAGAGCTGAGAGGAAAGTCTATAGCTGTAAATTTATATATATTAAAAATGAAAAAAGATCTCAAGTCAATAACTCAACTTTAAACCTTAAAAAAAAACTAGAAAAAAAAGCAAACCACAGCCAAAGCCATTAGAAGGAAGGAAATAATAAGGATTAGAGTGGAGATTTAAGGAAAAAAACCAAAGTGGAATAGAAAAACAACAGAAAAATCAATAAAACCAGAAGTTGTAAACCATTAAACAGACTAGAGATAAACAGAAGACTAAAATTTCTTTTTTAAAGATTTATTTGAGAGAGAGAGAACATGAGTAGAGGAAGAGGGAGAAGGAGAAGCAGACTTCCCACTGAGCAGGGTGTCCCATGTGGGGCTCGATCCCAAAGCCTCGAGATCATGACCTAAGCTGAAGGCAGACATTTAACTGACTAAGCCACCCAGGATCCCCCAGAAGACTAAAATTTCTAAATTCAGAAATGAAAATTGGGGACATTACTACTGACCTTACAGAAATAGTATTATGAGAATACTATAAACAGTTGTATGCCAACAAATCAGATACCTTGTGTGAAATGAGTTCCTAGAAACACAGACTGCCAAAACCTAGTCAAGAAGAAAAGCCTCAACAGTTTGTAACACGTTGAAGAGACTGAATTCTGGGTGTCTGGGTAGCTCAATCAGCTTGGCATCTGACTTGATTTTGGCTCAGGTCATGATCTCAGGGTTGTGAGATGGAGCCCCACGTCAGGCTCCATGATCAGCAGGGAACCTGCTGAAGATTCTCCCTCTCCCTCTCCCTCTGCCCTTCCCCCCACTCATGCACATGTATCCTCCCTCTCTCTTAAATAAATAAATCTTTTTTTAAAATAAATAAATCTTAAAAAAAAAAGATTGAGTCAGTAATCGAAGAATTCTACCAAATACTTAAATAAGAATTAACACCAGAAAAAGAAAAAAAAAAAAGAGGGAACATTCTTAACTCTATGAGGCCAGCATTCCCTTGCTCCCAAGGTCAAATAAAGACATCACAAGAAAATTACAGACCAGTATACCTTATGAATGTAAGGTAAAAGTCCTCAACAAAATAACGAGCAAGCTGAATTCAGCAGCATATTATAAGGAATACATTTAATGGAGGAGCTAAGACATTTTGCAGATGAAAACTGAAACACTGTTGGTAGAAACTAAAGAACATCTAACTAAGTGGAAAGACCTTTCATGGTCATTGACTACAAGAATAGCAATACTTGGAAGTAATTTACAGATTTAATGCAATCCCTATCAAAATCCCAATGGCCTGCTTACAGAAATAAAAAAGCTGATCCTGAAAATTAAAAAAAAAAAAAAAATGGAAGGGACCCCACATAGCAAAACCACCTCGAAAAAATAATACAGTTGGAGTACTCATACTTTTCAGTTTCATACTCACTATAAAACTGTGTTCATCAAAACCACGTAGTACCTCAAGAAGGAGAGACACGTAGACCAACAGAACAGAAAGGACAGGCCAGAAATAAACCTGCTCATCTACGGACACTGAGCTTCGTCAAGACTGCCAAGGCCACTGGTGGGGAAAGGAGCAGTCCTCAACACGTGGTTTGGGCAACTGGCTGGCCCCATGCGAAACAACACTGGGCCCTTACTTCACACCATATATACAAAATACGTTGATCAAAAACTTAAAAGAGCTAGAACTATGAAACTATTAGGAAAAAGCATAGAAGCAAATCTTCATGACCTTGGAATTGGCAGTGGATTCTTAGATAAAACACCAAAAGCACCACCAACAAGAAAACAAAACAACAACCAAAAACCCAAAAGGTAAAGTGGACTTTAAAAACCAAGAAAACCTTCGCGTAAAGATTACTTTCATCAAAGTGAAAAGACAACCGACGGAATGGGAGAGAATGCTTGCAAATCGCGCATCTGCTTGGGATCCAGTATTCAGAATATGTAAAGAACTCTTACAGCTAAGCGACAAAATGACAAATGACCCAGTAAGAACAGGGGCAAAGGACCTGTATGAACATTTCTGCAGAGGAGATGTACAATTCGCCAATAAGCACACGAACACCCACGGAGTATCATGCGTCACTTGGAAACTATGAACTACAGCGAGACGCCGCATCACACCCACCAAAGGACTGAAAATAAGTACTGGTGAGGTTGTGCAGGACCCGGAACCCCTGTGGGCTTCTGGGGGCAGTAAAACACTGCAGTCCCCGTGAAAACCAGTTTGGTGGTTCCTCCGAGACTTAAAGGTGGAATTATCCTATGACTCACAGTCCCACCCTCCGGCAATACACGCGAAGACCTGAAACCAGATATTCAGCAGACACCAGCCGGAATGTCCAGTTGAAGTCCCAGCAGCTGGGCATGGAAATGACTCGAATGGGCAACAAGTGGACAAGCGCAGGTTGTCCATCTGCACGCGGGCTGTTCCGCAGCCCTAAGAAGCAAGGAGTTCCGCCGATGCATGGGGACAAACACGCTACGTGGAAAACTAAACACAAAGGTTATGCTGTCGGATTGGATGGATAGGTAACACCCAGAATACGTAAATCCACTGGGACAAAGCAGGTTGGGGGCTGCCAGGGGCTTGGGGAAGGGGAAGCTGGGCAGTGCCTACTTCGAGGATATGGAGTCTCCTTTGGTTGTGATGAACCAGACGGAAGCAGCGGTTGAGTGGCTGGTGAGTGGACCAGGAGCCACTAAAGGGCAGTCCCAACACGGTTAACTCCGTGCTATCGGCATCTCACCTGAATTGACTTAATAAAACACAGATGCACCAAACCTGTGCAGAGGTGTCTTCTGCATTTAAAACCCAGCCTTTAGATCAGGGCCTGAAAGCCCCTAGGTGAGCTGGCCTCTGCCTCT